AACATTTTAAAATTTACAATAAATATTTATTGTTAATTTAATTACAATCAATAACCAAGATATTAAAATCAATTATTTAGATTACTAAACCAAAAATCCATAAATATTTCCAGCTCATTTTTAGTTACCATAAAATGAAAAATAAAAAGATAGTTCAAATATTAATTTTAATTAGACTAAAACCGAGTCGTACTCAGCCCTCCTTCCATCACCTTCAAAGAAAACACCAAAAATCATAAGGATTAGTTGTAATCTGTTAACCATTATTTTCAGGGATTTAAGGCACCGACAGGCTCTCCAGGCAATAGGTTTTATAGAATACCCCAATAGTCTTTTTCGCCTGGATTTGAATTTTGAAACCTGGTCTATAATTAGGCTCAAAAAGAGGGCTGCTCGAAGCCAGTAATAGTCCAATAATATCACAACGAACATGAGACGCAGTTACTAAACATAAAACTCTAATTCTACAACTTGCACATCATCGTAGGATGAACACTTTTCAATCTAATTGTACTGTAACTTGACGCGATTTGAGCGGCTCTTATTGAGCTCTGTTCATTGACAAACCAGCTCAATATTAACACAACAGCACTTCTACATTCCATAGCCTATTTTCCAACCGAAAAAGTAACCAGAATTTTAAACCCAATGGTTCGATCCCAAACCTTAAGTGTTTGAGTGAAATGATTGGAGTTTCGAGCTCCACCACCGTCGTAAACTCCACCAAAAAACGACTTGATGACTGCGCGTCTCATTTAAGGGAATAGAATGTAGGGGTGTTCATATCCAATCCAATCCGATTGATCCGACCTAAACTGATCCGATCTGATTAAAAATCAAACTAAACCGATATAAAATTGGGTTGGTTTGGATTATAAAAATTTAAAACCGATATAATTAGTTTGGTTTGTAATTTTACTTTCAAACTGTCCAAACCGCCAAATTATAAAAAAAAAATCTCATTATAAGATAACTTAATTAAATAATATAATATTTTTATAATATTTCAAATTTTCTTTTTCTTATTTTACAAGATAATGACTCTGTTG